TTTTTTAATTTTTTTTCATTGCCCTTTTACATCCAGATGTGGCCAGCGGGATCACTGTCGACTGGGCCTATGACAATGGCATCAAGTTCTCCTTCACCTTCGAGCTCCGGGACACGGGGCGCTATGGCTTCCTGCTGCCGGCCTCCCAGATCATCCCCACGGCCCAGGAGACATGGCTGGCGCTTCGGACCATCATGGAGCACACCTTGAATCACCCCTACTAGCAACACCACCGAGGGCAGAGCGGGAAGATTCATTCCCTTCCCCGAGGACTGGGGCTCCTCCTGAAACCCAAGTGATGCCTCCTGTTCCCCACACCCCAACCTTGACCCCTTAGGAGATAAATACAAGTTTGAACAGGCTTGATGGCCTCTGGGGCTGGCCACTAACCCCTTTGGGCTCGCATTGAGGAGGGGAGAGGGGCACTTGAAACGCCTCTTCAGTCCCCAGGTACTCAGGAGGGTTGAGGGGCCAGCCGACCTTACACTTGCTCATCCTGCAAATGTGGGTCCTCCAGGCCCATGGCAGACAACTCACCTGCTGGGGGCTGCTAGTAGGCACATTGTCCCCTTGGTGTTTACATCCTAAGATGATCCTGGAGGGGACAATGTTTGATCAAAAGCAGTGGCTCTCCGGTGGCGACATTTCCGGCACCTTGAGGGAGAGGTGGGGACAGGCAGGCAGCTTCCTCCTCTTCTTGCTTCATTTCATATGTTGGTAGGGGTCAGGGGTTCATTTCAGACTCCCCCTCTTTGAAGATCCCATTCACCCTCTAAAGGAGAGTGAACAAGTCACTGGTTTGTGACCTGCGCCTCCTGGGCACCCTCGCAGTCTCCGCTGGTCCTGGACAGAGTCACGGCCAGTCAGGGCGAGCACGGCGAAGCCCCACACATCCAGGGAGAGGAAAGCCTCTTTTCCGCCCCTCTTTGCCACAGTCACCATGGCTGTCCTGCGCTGAGCGGTTAGTCCCGGCCCGGCATTTACTAAGTAAGCACTTTATTTAAGGGAGAGAAGGGAGAATATTTTGAGATAGAAGAAACAAGATGCACCCCCTCCCAATCCTGAGGTTTCTTTATTTATTTATTTTTTTAGATTTATTTATTTATTTATATTATTTATTTTGAGAGAGACAGAGACAGCATGAGCAGGGGAAGGGCAGAGAGAGAGAGAGAGAGAGAGAGAGCATCCCAAGCAGGCTCCACGCTTGACAACGCAGAGCCCGACACGGGGCTCAAACTTACGAAACCACGAGATCATGACCTGAGCCAAAACCAAGAGTTGGACGCTTAACCGACGGAGCCTCCCAGGCGCCCCTCCTGAGGTTGTTCCTAAGACTTTCCGCCTTCCTTCACCCCCGGGGAGCAGAGATAGTGGGTCTGTTTGCCCCGCCCTCAGGGCAAGGCAGGTACTCTGAAGAAGCTGGAGGTCAACAGCAACGCTGGGTGGGTCTGTGCACGTCTGAGGCAGAAAGCGAGACTTTCATTTGCAAGGGCCAGACTTTGGTTTTGTTGCAAAAGAGGAGGATTGTGGGTACCCGGGAGCTGGCCCCTGCAGGACACAGAGCACGGAGTTTTACTCTAAATCTCACACATGGAAGAAAGGAGGGTGAAGTAGAACAAGTCCCTCTTTCCACCCTAAAAGGAGATAGAGGTTAAATTGGTAGATGGAGGGGATGGGTAGTGATCGGAACTCTAGGTAAGACCCAGGTCCGAAAGGGCAATGAAGGAGCAGATTAACAATGGCCAAGCCAAGGGGTCTAGGCAGGTTATTAGAGTGTACCCACGAGGCTGGGTACACTCTGAGCTGCGTAGCGCTCTGAGCAAAGAAATGGTGAGGAGGCCTGGGGTGGATGCAAGAAGGCCGAGCCCGGGGGCCATGCGGCCAGCGGCCATGGTGGCACAGTGGCCATCGACTGGGGATGCCTGTGCCCAGGACCTGCCATGCCTTGAGGAGGCCTGAGCAAGTCAGGGTAATGAACACCTGAAGAACCCAGATCCTCTCCAGGGGAAGAGCCAAAAGAAGGGAGGCGTCCGATTTGCGCTGTGGTTTCTCCCAGGAGACAGATTTTTTTTTAAAGCTGGAAGTGATTTGAGCGAGGTAGAATTTCCAAGCTAAAGTTTTCTGCTATTGGCGGGAATATGAGGCCATGGGCTAAATTAGTATAAGCTACAGATAAATAAAGCAAGTTATACCTTTATACACCGGAGTGCGTGATTATAACTTTTGTACCCTCTGTGCAAATATTTGAATTTCAGCCTCTTGGGGAGGATATTATCAGTGTTTAAAAAAATTTTTTTCTTAATGTTTTTATTTATTTTTGAGAGAGAGAGACAGAGCATGAGCAGGGGAGGGGCAGAGAGAGAGGGAGACAGAATCTGAAGCAGGCTCCAGGCTCCGAGCTGTCAGCACAGAGCCTGACGTGGGGCTCGAACCCACAGACTGTGAGATCATGACCCGAGCTCAAGTCGGACACTTAACCGACTGAGCCACCCAGGTGCCCTGATATTATCAGTATTAATACGCTTGTATTTCAGATAAGGAAAGTATGATGATTATTTGGACAGGTTTTTTAATGTTTATTTATTTATTATAAAGAGAGAGAATGTGCATGAGTAGGAGAGGGGCAGGCAGAGAGAGAGAGAGAGAGAGAATCCCAAGCAATCTCCATGCTGTCAGCGCAGAACCCAATGCAGGGGTCAACCCCACGAACCATGAGATAATGACCTGAGTGAAATCAAGAGTTGAATGCTTAACTGACTGAGCCACCCAGGTGCCCCGATTCAGAGAGATTTTAAAGGCCACACAAGATCACATGAATGGGAAGTTGTCAAAGGGGTTTTGAACTCGGCTTTGTCTAACTCCAAAACCACTATGTCTCCATTTGTCCAAGTGTGACCTGTGGCCACATTGGCAGCAGAATCCGTGGGGAGTAATTTAATGTGAAGATATTCGGGTTTCATTCCCAGAATGAAACAATCTCTGGGGTGTACCCCCCCCCCAAATGTGTATTTTTACCATCTGCCTCAGGAGTTCTGAGGTCCCTTAAAGGCTGAGAACCACCTGCTTTCCTGTCTCCCAGAAGAACACATTTGAGTTTCCCTGGGGGAGTTGGGGCCTTGGGTCTCCCACCTTTTGCCATTATCTGTTAGGGCCGAGGGTGGTTACAACGGCGGGACGCTGGTCATCCTTTGCCAGAGTATTGCCAAGGGACTGCCTTAGCCTAGCCCTGGTCTGCAGACCACAGGCCTCAGCATCACGTGGGAGCTTGCTGGAAATACAAAGTCTCGGGCCACCCAAGACCTCCTGAATCAGAAAGAACCTCTGGGCCTGGGACCAGGTGATGCCAATGCCATGCTGGAGAGGCATGGCCCTAGAGGCAGGAGGGTCTGGACCCTGATGAGCTTCTCAGTAACAACAGTGAAAATAATAACCGTTTCCAGCACGTACCGTGTGCCATTCATGGTTCCAAGCGCATGACAGGTTTCAACACATTGGCTCCTCACGGCTCCGAGAAGTAAGACTCTCACTGTTTTTCTTTTCAAATCAAGAGGCTCAGGATGAGGATAATAGGCAAAGGGCGCCCAGCGACTGAGAGGCAGGCCTGGGACCTGAGTCTTGCCCAGAGCCCCTCGGGACCAGGGGCCAGGAGCTTGTTCTCACAGCCATGTTGGAAAGACCTCTGCGAGGCCAACAGGCTCACAAGAGTTGGGGCTGAAGCTGCTTCACAGATGGCGGTCTTCTTGAAAGGCAACTTTCTCTTTCAAACCCTTCAGTGATTTAACACCCCCCCCCCGCCCCCGCCCAAGGTGCCGCGTGGCTGGCCCTGCACACCTCTCCCGCTTTGCCTGAACACCTTGGTCATCAGCCCCAAGCCCTCTGACCTCCTCACAGCTCCTTCGGCTCCTTCCCAACTGGAAGCCCTTGCCTGTGCTCCTCCTCCTCCTCTGGAACATTCTCTCCTCTCACTCTCCCTCCAAATGACCCACTCCTTAAATTTTCCCCTTCAGTATAATTTCCTCACTTAGTCCTTCTAGGACCATCCATGAGAAGTAGGTCTGTTCTCTCTGCCGAGGCCTTACGTACTTCCTCGATTACAGTGATGGTAACTGACTTCTTTGGTGCTTTGTCTCTGCCACTAGTTTGACTGCTCTGTAAGGGTAGGGACCACGTTCGGGTTATTCACCCTCAGTTCCTGTCAGGTGCACAGTGGGTACTCGGTATTTGTCAAAAGAGTGCTTCTCGTCCTCGTCCTCGTACGGATTAGAACTAGGTTTAGCATTAGGTGACAGAATGGCTTTAGCAGATCGGGGTTTTATTATTTTTTTTCATGTAATAAGCTGCCTGAGGTGGGTAGACCAGCCCGCCTGACTGAACCTGACTCCTTGGCGCGCTGGGGACCCAGACCTTTCTGGACTGTTCTGTTTTGTCACTCGGCCATCATTTTGACCTCCAGTCTACCTCCATCACGTGACTGAATTCCAGGCAGGATGAGGGGGCAAGGGCAACAAACGTGAGCCAGCGGCTGAGTTGGGCGATCCACGGGCTTCAACTTACACTTTATTGGCTGGGACTGTGTCGGTGGCCATGCTCAGCTGCAAGGGAGGCTGGGAAATCACTTTATAGCTGAGCACATTGCTGCCCCCCAGTGAAATTAGAGTTCTGCTGGGAAGGAGAAAGGGGAGAATGGATATTGGAAAGACAGCCAGCAGTCGGCTGCTGCTTCTCAGAAGGGTCTCTGAATCAGTTTCTTTGCTCTAGGTAATCAAGTGACTGACTAAATGATTAAGCCACAGAACTTTCCAGGGCCCTTTCAAGGCTTCTGGCCCAACCCCCTCATCTTACAGTTATGAAGGCTGGGGGTCTCTGGACTCGCGAGGCCCTGCACGAACCTAACATCTGGGAGAAGACTAAAGCGAGGCCTCTTCTTCCTATGACCGAGGGGGTCTCCTCAGCAAGCCCAGGGACGTGACGGTTGGAGGAGTTTATCAAGTGAAAGCTCAATACTTAAACCTGTGAGTTTTAGAGATATTACAGAATAATCTCTTTTTCATAAAATCTGAATATTTTTGTTTTTCATTTCTGGGGTATATAATGCCAAACAGGAGTTCAGTTTTTCTACATGCTGCCTGATTGGTTGTTGTTTTTTTTTTGCCCACCCCCCCTTCCAACAAACTGCTCTTTTTAGGTTATGTTTTTTCATCCTTCTCACCAGTAAAATTTATGA